GCCCCCGAGTGGGAGGATTGCTCTCCGCTCGATATGATTTTTTCAAACTTAGGCGAGTGCCGAACTGCAGCTAAGTCTCCATGTGAGAGAACTTAGGCGAGTACTGGACTGCAGCTAAGCCCCCGAGTGGGAGGATTGCTCTCCGCTCGGTAGGATTTTTTCAAACTTAGGCGAGTGCCGGACTGCAGCTAAGTCTCCAAGTGAGAGAACTTAGGCGAGTACTGGACTGCAGCTAAGCCCCCGAGTGGGAGGATTGCTCTCCACTCGGTAGGATTTTTTAAATACTTAGGCGAAACGGATTCACAGCTAAGCCCCCGAGTGGGAGACTGGCTCGCCACTCGGTAGGAAACTGTTTTTACAAACTTAGGCGAAGCGGATTCGCAGCTAAGCCACCCACTGGGGGATTTCTTACGCAAACAAAAACAATAATAATCACTGGGAAAATTATAACGCTCTTGTCTTTGATAAATAAACTACAGGAGTTTTTCTTATTACATCTCATCCGAGTGAGAATTCAAGTATAAAAGGGGCGGAGTAGCTCCGCATTCCAGGCTCGTGGCTCATCAATCTGGCAATCGATATTGTAGAGGTGGTATGCTCTATTGTGGAGGACTCTGGTGACTATGAAGGGGCCTTCCCAAGTAGGAGCGAGCTTGTGTGGTTTCTGCTGATCCACTCGGAGGACTAAGTCTCCTTCTTGGAAGGCTCGGCTCTTCACGTTTCTGGCATGGAATCGACGCAAGTCTTGCTGATAGATGGTCGATCGAATCAAGGCCATTTCTCTTTCTTCTTCTAGGAGGTCGACTGCGTCCTGCCGGGCTTGTTCTGCTTCATCTTCAGAGTAGAGCTCGACTCGGGGAGCGTTGTGAAGCAGGTCACTCGGTAAGACTGCCTCGGCTCCGTAGACCAGAAAGAATGGGGTTCTTCCGGTTGATCGATTCGGGGTTGTCCTCAATCCTCAAAGGACTGATGGAAGCTCGTCGACCCATGCACCTGCTGCGTGCTTGAGATCGCGCATCAATCGGGGTTTCAGTCCTTTGAGAATTAGGCCGTTTGCCCTTTCTGCTTGCCCATTCGACTGGGGGTGAGCGACCGAAGCATAGTCGACCCGAGTGCCCTGAGAGGCACAAAAGGCCCTGAATTTGTCGGAATCGAAGTTTGATCCATTGTCCGTGATGATGCTGTGCGGAACTCCATATCTGAATATCAACTCTCTAATGAAACTGATAGCGGTGCAAGCATCGAGATTCTTGATAGGCTTGGCTTCAATCCATTTGGTGAACTTGTCGACTGCTACAAGCACATGAGTGAAGCCGCTCCTGCCTGTTCTCAGTGGTCCAACCATGTCCAGCCCCCAAACAGCGAAGGGCCAGACGAGTGGAATGGTTTTCAGGGCTGACGCGCGCTTGTGCGGCATATTGGAGTAATACTGACATCCTTCACATTTGTCGACTATCTCTTTTGCCGTCTCATTGGCTCTTGGCCAGTAGAACCCCGCTCGGTATGCTTTAGCCACAATGGTCCGAGAGGACGCATGATGACCACAGGTCCCTGAGTGGATATCGTTAAGGATCATCTGACCTTCTTCTGGTGTAATACACTTCTGGCCGACCCCAGTCGCGCTTTCTCTATATAACTGTCCCTTTATGACTGTAAAGGCCTTGGATCGACGGACGATCTGTCGAGCCTCTTCTTCATCTTCTGGGAGTTCTTTCCTTAGGATGTACGCGATGTATGGTTCTGTCCAGACGGGAGTGATAACCAAGACTTCCATGATCAGGTCGACCACAGCTGGAACTTCAACTTCAGTCGGATCCGTGGCGCTTTTTGGCTGCGGGGCCTCTTCAGTGAAGGGATCCTCCTGGACGGATGGTGTGTGGATGTGTTCGAAAAACACATTGCTGGGAATGGCTTCTCTTTTGGAACCTATTTTTGCCAGATCATCAGCTGCTTGATTTTTCAGTCGGGGTATGTGATGAAGCTCTAACCCCTCGAATTTCTTCTCCAGCTTTCTCACTGCATTGCAATAACCAGTCATGGCTGGACTTCTGACGTCCCATTCCTTCATCACTTGATTAACCACCAAATCTGAGTCGCCATAGACCATGAGGCGACGGACGCCGAGTGAAATGGCCATGCGCAACCCATATAAAAGTGCTTCGTATTCTGCCTCGTTGTTAGAGAAATCAAAGTGGATTTGAAGAACATATCTGAGTTTATCTCCTCTGGGGGAGACCAACACCACTCCGGCGCCGGAACCATTTAGCATCTTGGAACCGTCGAAGAACATGGTCCAATGCTCCGAGTGAATCTGAGTCGGCAGTTGCTGTTCAATCCACTCGGCGACGAAATCCGCGATTGCCTGGGACTTGATAGCTTTCTTTGCCTCAAACTTGATATCTAGAGGAAGGAGTTCAATCGCCCATTTTGCCACTCGACCAGTTGCGTCTCTGTTATGCAAGATCTCTGACAATGGAGCGTCGCTGATGACTGTAATGGAATGATCAAAGAAGTAGTGGGCAACTTTCTTTGTGGTCATATAAATCCCATATACGAGCTTCTGATGATGAGGATATCTTTGCTTCGATGGGGTCAAGACTTCAGAAATATAATACACTGGGCGCTGAACTTTCAAGGTTTTTCCTTCTTCCCGCTCGACCGTAAGTACCATACTGACGACTTGTCCTTGCTAATTGGGGCAGCAAGCACCGGCTGGGTGGAGAGCAGAGTTTTGAGCTCTGCGAACGCTGCGTCAGCTTCAGGAGTCCACTCGAACTTGTCAGACTTCTTCATCAATCGGTAAAGAGGCAATGCCTTTTCACCGAGACGAGATATGAACATGTGTTTTACCCAAGTTACCCAAGTTGCTCTTGTAAGCAGATGGCAACTCTCTTTTACCCAAGTTGCCATGTGTTTTTGTATGGTACATGGCAACTGCCCTAGCGTGCACGTAAGCAGATGGCAACTCTTTCTTTTTACATGGCAACTGCCCTAGCGTGATTGTGAGCACACGTCAACTCTCTTTTTTACCCGAACATGTTTTTTGCCATGTCTTTTTGTAGTGCTACACGGCGACTGCCTAGTGTCAGTGGGTGGCAACTCCTAAAGTTTTGAAATCATGGCAACTGCAGTAGACCAGATCATACATGACAACTGCAGTTGAGCAACCATGGCAACTGTAGTTGTCCGACATGACAACCGAAGTTCAGCGACATGGCAACTACAGTTAAACGAACATGGACGAGGGTCTGGACCATGGCAACTGTGGGACGCACGATGACTGTCACGCGGGGCATGCGGGACAACGAGGTATGAGGCCTGACGTACGGGCCGTGTGAGCGTTATCTATTTCGCCCACACGCACGCGTGTGAGAGGGATCCGGAGAAAAAAAATGAGGTGTGTGGGCATTACTTGTTTGGCCCACACGTAGGTGTGTGGACAGACCTCCTAACGTCCACACGTGTGACACTTATCGCCGTCCTTCTCTAGTTGTGTGTTTGATGTAACAATTAGAAATGTAATTGGTTCATCTGATCAATAAAATAACACCTGAGGGGGCATTTCCTTTTTAAAAAAAAATCTTCTTCAGCTGTATCAAAAAATTATTCATGGAAGAAAACACCGTCTCTCCGCATACATCACCTCGACCGGTGTCACCAATGTCCTCCAAGTCCAACCCTCTCCTCCCGAAGCTACAAAGAACCTTAGTTATACTCGCACCTCCCCTAAGAAAAGTTATCCTCACACCAAAGTGCTTACTATCCTTTCAATAAAGAACATATTAATGTTTTATAGTGTTCAATATCATTAATTTCCATGTTACTTAGTTGCATTATTGTACAATCCATATTTTTCAAACTTTTTTCTTCGAGGCGGCTATGTCTTTGAAACTTTGTAGCACATGTTTGTGACCATGATTTGTAAGTATTTCTAAATTATTTTAATAGACATAAAATTATTTTAATAATTTGAGAACCACAACAGGCCTAGGCCGGCCCAACTATCACATTCCTCCCAAAAATTTATTCGTGTTTTGGTCATAATGCCCGGCCCATGATTAGTCCGGTTCGTATCTCAGCAAAGTCCATCATATCGTATCAAAACCTTTTTCTCTGGCCGTCTCATAATTACCTCTGAGAAAAAAAGGCATCTCAAAATTAGGGATGGATTAACGCGCTGTTCAGCTCGTTAAGCTCGTGCTTGTTAAGGCTAGTTAAGCTTAACAAGTAGAAAGCCCTGCTCAGCTCGGTTCATTTAATGCTCGTTAAGCTTGTGAGCGCTCGCGAGCACTCGTTAATAGATCGCTCGTTGACAGATTATGATGTGTTACATTTATACGATGAGTGTGTAGGCATGGTTTATATGAAGAAAGATGATGACTACAAAAGAAAATCACACTATTTTGTTGCCTCCTATGTCGACTCGATTAAATCAATGGGTCGAGGTACTATGAAATTTTTTGTCACATAAAATGAAAAAAGATATGTTGTGTTGTTACTAACGAGTTTAACGAGCTATTCGTGAAACTCATTTAGCTTAGAGCAATGCTACATCTACGTTACTGTTTTTTTACGTATTTTACGTAATAGCAAACGTGGCAAGTCAGGATTGGGGAGGGAGTGAGGAAGGAGCCCACCCTCATTAAAATCAGGAGGCAGAGATGTTTAGATTAGATAGTTTACGTAATATCACGTAGTTCTTTACGTAAATGTAGGATTATTGTTTGGCTTAACAAGCTTAAATTGATGATTGCATCTGTTCATTAAAAAGCGAACTATAAGTTTAACGAGCCCAATTATAGAGCGAGCTATCAGTTTTTGCCCAGCCCTACTCAAAATGTTCTAAAATAAAGCTGTCAAAAAAAGAAAACTTCTTCATCAGCGGAAAAAAAAAAGAGAGAGGAGAGAATCACCGTCTCTCCGCATACATCACCTCGGCCGGCGCTGGCACCGATCTCCTCCAGAGTCCAAGCCTCTTCACCCAAAGCCATGGCCGCGCGGCGTCGCTCCCTCCTCATGCTCCCGCCCCTCCTCCTCCTCCTCTCCCACTTCCTCTCCCTCGCCGCCGCCTTCCAGTCGGACGAGCTGCTCCTCCACGACGACGACGAGTTCGAGGGCACCCGGGCCTCCTCCACCCCCTCGCTCCGGCCGCCCTCGACGCCGCCGGTAGTGTCCTCCCGCCGCCGATCCGCGGACGCGACGCAGGCGGCTGGCGCCTCCGAGTCCAACACCGTCCAGTTCACCCTCGAGCACGACCTCGGAGCCGGCCTAGGGTTCGGCCCCGCCGGGTCCTTCTCCGCCCGCCTCAAGTCCTCGGCCCACGGCTCCCAGGTTTGCTTCGCACCCTATCGGTAGTTTCGTTCCCGATTTGGTTGCCCGATCTCGTCGTCGTAGCTCTCGTTGCTTGCTGATCTGTTTTCTCTACTTCCTGATCCCGTGATCTATGGGCAGCTAGTGATTGGACCCTGCCAGGGGGTAGATTTGGTTGATTTCGTGCCCCCGTCAGTAGTTTCTAGCTGTTTGGTTTGGAGATACTGTGAATTGTGTGGTCCGAATTGTTAGGGAAGGTGAACTATAGATCGGATCTGGTTAGTTTGTTCTTCCAGATCATCTGCTATTTGTTTGACGTGTGTAGGACGGTTCAGTTTTGTTGTTTGGTTCGTTTAGCAAAGTAGTTGCTACCCTGTAGGTAGTGCTGATAAGGTTGATAAATGATTATGAGCTTTACCATTTCATTGTTGTTGCCCAACAGTGGCATGACATACTCTGTGTGGTCACAGAAATCAGTTGCCACATCCTTTGCAAGAATATGGAGTCATTCTACATTGCTTACTCGCATATTGCCACATAGAGAACAACTACGAGGTGGGGTGACAGAACTGCAAGCAACAAAGGGTGTGTATTCTCGCCTTGCGTGACGAAGCATTGGGTGTTTGATTGTTAGCACAATCAAATCTGGCTTTGCTAGGCAAAGAGATACAGTTTGGTCACAAGGGATGAGAGCAGAATTGGCATTTCCTCAAGAGCAAACGTCAGTCTATTCTTTTCAGAATAGAGCAAGTGCCAGTTAGCACATGATCGGTCATTGGTTTCTCTTGGCAAAATATCCAAAGAAGGGATTTGCCTAGATAACCCATGGCCGACAGCTAGTATTCTCTTGCCTAGATATGCTAGCTTCGCAAGGGTAATATGTGGAAACAATTCCTTATGTGGCCCTGTTAAAAATGTGCTTCCCTGTTTGGTATTCTTTTGACACCAGGTGTGAATTTTGTTCCTAGTGTGACATTTCCATCCGTTTTTCCAGCAGAGTGTTAAATGACACCTGAAAAGACACCCCTCATTTGTACACTAGTTATTTTTTCAGCAAAACACCTGAGCAGAACTGGAGTCACATATCAGTCGCAGTGCTGCAGCGAGGCACCTGGCGGGATTACACCATGGCCTTGTGGCGGTGCTCGGTCGAGGAGGAAAAGGGTGAGGTGGACCCGGTGCTCGCCACCGCCACCTCTCGCTCCTCTGACCTGCTTTCTCCCGCGCTTCTGCGTCCTCCTTGCCGCCCTCTTCCACTCCCTCTCCCTACTGCCCCCCTCGTTGTCCGTGCCGCCTCGCGCCTCCCTGGCCACGCGTCTTGCTGAGCACGACATGCTGCTGTACCTTGCTGACTTCTGCACGCTCCCGTAGGGTGTCTAGATTAGAAGTCATAGGAAGGAATTTATTTTTGCTTCAGAATTATTCTTGGCTTTGTTTGCTTGTATTCTATGTAACTAGTTGTCTCATTGAATAATCACCCATGTCAACGCTGCCCTCAAGTAGTAAAGTTAACCATATGTTAGTTTCCTATATGTTCTTTCTTTAACTATTTATACTAAAGCGAGGAGAATTTTATCTTAATTGACTCCACTCATTTTCTGAACCAGACTCTCACTAAGCTCCGATTTACGAGGAATGAGTTGACTGAGGATGAAAAGAATGCATTTAAGGTTCTTTCTTTTCTCCATTATTTCCTGATTTCATTATTTTTCTATATACCAACTTATCTGGTGCTTCTGCATTTTAATTTTATCATTGCAGAAATTACTGGAAGAAGATAGTTTTTACACAATAAGGCTACCGTCTAATGTGTTGGATCCTACAAGAAACGATTATATTTATTCCTCAATCAAAGCGGTAAGTTGAGTAGTTGACTAACTTCATGTTGTTTCTCTCCAACCTATCATTATGGCTTGCTGGATCGTAAGATAGATTCACCAGATATTACTCCAATATTATTGTGAATGAGGTTTATTACAACAGAATCAACAACTATACTGATTTGAAATTCCCATGAAGCAATGGCCACTTTCAAGCTTATGAAAGAAGCATAAATTGCAGATATGAAATGTTTTATGTTAGGAATTATTGTGATTCTAGAGTTGTGTTTTCAGTCGCTGAACTGTGTATTTTTTCGATGTTCAGAGATGCATTCCACGTGACAGCTTGGATGAACATATTGTCATCCACATGGTAATTCTCTCGATTTCTTAACTGCTACTTGTATCTTCTCCTGTAGAGCTTACTTCATTGTGTATAATTGATACATCTTAAAAATACTGTCAGCATTTTCGTCGGTTCATAATTACATTTTCTGTATAACTAACAAAATAGGGTGGGATGCTGTTTGATTGTCGTGGACCTTTCCTATAGCCCCATCTATCTTTGCTGCCGATCCACGGAAAATGGCAGCTAGGATAGCACACCAGTGATGGTTTAGTTCACAAGGCATTAGGATAGACTATATTCAATTTTCGTTAGGAGATTGTGTTAGAGATGGGTAGGTATTCCTTCAGTATATGTATTTAGAAATATCTATTGGTGTTCCTTGAGCTCAAGGATGCTATTTATCCTTTCCTGATACTACCTCTGTACACTAATATAAGACTTTTTTGCAGTTCAATTTGAACTGCAAAAACGTCTTAAATTAGAGATTGTGTTAGAGATGGTTAAGTATTCCTTCAGTATACGTATTTAGAAATATCTATTGGTGTTCCTTGAAGTTAAGGTTCCTTTCCTGATACTGCCTATGTACACTAATCTAAGACGTTCTGCAAAAACGTCTTACATTACTGTACAGAGGGAGTACATTTTAGTTATTACAATCAGCTAGCAGTTTCTGTTCCCTTTTGGATATGAGTATATGACTGCCTATCTTTAGAAGCAGCCCCTTGTATGTTAACTTCTAGTTATAACTACCTGTTTTAGGAGCCCTTCTAGTTATAACTACCTGTTTTTAGAAGGAGCCTTAATGTAATTTTCAGCATCAATCTAAGAATTTCCTTACCTAATGAAGCCGTATGTCAGAACCTCTTTGCCACTTGTGCATGGAGGGTGAGCATGAGTTATCAAGCTACCTACCCTTTCCGATCCCGTACAAAGGCACATTTTCCTGTACAACCCCCACCTTTGCACCACCACAAATCAACCTGTAACATTGTACAGTTTAATCATGTGGCACTAGGAATGTATATTCAGTAGGGTTGGTTAACCTGAGTATTTTTTAGCTCTGAAGTACGCAACTTTCGTCCTGGTTTTATTATGTTACATATGTTCTTCCTTGGCAGAACTCCACGTCCAAATTGGAAGTTCCCATGTTTCATATTTAGAATGACAGATGGCTTTGTTGGCTGTTGCTTATTTGCTAGAAACCATCACATGTACCTAGCACGTAGCATCAAACCTTTAATGGTATATTTTTTTATGTGATAAATCGGTAGTGCAGTAGAATAATACTGTCTTTCACAGGATGAAATGTTTGAAGGAATGTTCACTTTCTATAGATGAATGTCTCTTTGGTATTTGGCTCACATTAGACTTTGCTGTGTCATTTGCAGGACGGTGTAAATATTTTGGCTGTTAATTATGGTTCCGTTGGTGGATGCCAATATCCCCGGCCAATGAAAGTAGTAAGTTGTCTTGCTTGAAACCTTGTTTATGGAGTTGCATGTGGTAAATAATTGATAGAAATAACCTATAAGCTTTTAACTGTACCGTACCAGCAAAATGCACGCACATACTATAAACATATAAACTTCGGGAGTTATACTGCCTAGATTAAACTCCCGCAATTATGGTAAAATAACATCACAGAAGGATGCATGTTGATGTTTCACCCGTTAAGTATACCGTGTGTGTCTGCTGATGAAAGACAATGCTTCTATTTACAATGCTGAAATTCTTGTTCCAGCCATCAAAATGGACATTCAATTCATACACTATTCTGAAGACTGCTGACCAAGCACCAAGGTAAATCTCTGCTTTATCGAGGTTAAGACAAAAATAATATGCAGAGCACCAGAGAGGTGGCAGTTCACATTTATCTTAGTGACCTTTTCCAGCAACAAACCTATTGCCAAAGAACAGTCTCAAACCTATCCTATCTCGAATGACACCTGGTTCCTAGTTCTAACTAAGTTGTGCGCTTGCAGAACTCCATCATTTGTAGAGCAATTGATAGAAACTGAGAGTGGACTCGGTGAAGTGATGAAACCACCTGAGAAATCTTTCTGGGCTAAATATGTGAGTACAGTAATAAATATCACGTGTATATTTTCGATTTTTTTCGCTGGTGCCTGCATGACTTGAAATGTTGTCGTATCCTTTTCCTTGAATCTGACTGCTGCTTCCTGCTTTGCAGTGGATGTACATCATTCCTCTTGGTCTCATTGTCATGAACGCCGTCACAGCAGCAGCAAACATACCCGAGGAGCAAGCTGGAGGGCAGGGTCAAGCTCCAGCACAAAGGGCGCCAATTGCTGCTCCAAGGAGAAGATGATGGCTTCCTATATTCTTTGCATGCCATAGGTACTTTATCTGGCTATAAGCTATTTCAGCATCACAGACGTTGTTTGTCACAACCGTTCCTTCACCTATAACTTATGCCCAACATCGTTTGAGTTTCAGATTCACAAAGAATGGACAGGGGGGATGGATCTGCTTGACCTTCCCCAGAACAGGGGCAGTACTAGCGGCAACAAGACTCACTTGGTTTTTCTTTTTCTCGCATTCAGAAACCCACCTTGTTGTAGAATCATCTCAGAAAGGTCGCGTGTTCTGCTCGCATCTACACGCGTATTTTTGCCTGTTGATAGAAATTACCATCAGTCCTTAACTCGGTTCAAACTGCATGCCTTAATATTCAGAACTAGCTTAATTTACCAATATCAAACATTGTATGTTTTGCTCATAACCCTACTGTATCAACAAATTCGTGCTGCTTGCATTGCATTGTCGACGGTTTGGTGCTTTGACTCTTGGTGCCTGAGAATATGTAAATGCTTATCTTCTTGGACAAAAAAAAATCATTGATGTTTACCATGCTATAGCTTATCCACTTGCAGAACTGAGCAAAAGTATCCTCATTTGTTGTGTACAAATAGATCAAACTGTGAGTGTCCGTTTTGAAAAAAATAGTGTCTATTTAGGCTGTATTAAAAAAATTCCTGTATGGAATATGTGCGGTCATGTTTTGGCTTTAAATTTTCCAATTGTAAATGTGGAGTAAAATGCTGTGGACATTCATTATGTTTTTGCAAAAAATTCACACCTTGGGTGAGAAATCGGAAGATGTCATTCGTTTTCGTTTGATGAGAAATAGAAAGGAATATTGAGAATTCGCGTGGCTGAAGCTGAAGATAAGCGAATGGTAAGCGAGATGGGTGAGCGCGGGCGTGTTTGTTTCACGACCCAATATTTACAACGGAATTGCTTTGCACACGACGTTTCACTTTATAATATTTGTAATATTGATGATCCAAAGGTCCAGCCACACGCAGCGGATGTGATGAAAGGCCGAGGGTGGATTTAATTGAAAATGAAGCGGGCAAGGTTTTTTTTCAATAAAGGATGGATTTTATCGAAAATGAAGCATCAAGGGACACAAACACAATGAGCACTTATCCGACCTCTGCATAATTAGGATGCATATGGCCAACACATTTGCAAAGAGCAAAGTTATACAAGACTTATTTTCATGAAAAAATGGGATCTATCAACGAAAGTACCATTCTACACCCAGGAGCAAATGCTCCTGGTGTGAACAGTAAAATCAAAAAATAGAAAAAAATTTCAAAAATTTCTGAAATTTTTTTACGGCATACTTTCACAAGTGTTTCTTGTGCATGGAAATTTTCATCATGAAATCACATTCATGGAAGTCGTGCCAAAAAAAACAAAATCAGAGCTCAAAAATGCTTTTGTAAGTAACATTTTCAGAGCATCGATTTTGTTTTTTTACCACACCTTCCATCAATGTGATTTCGTGATGAAATTTTACGTGCACAACAAACATTTGTATAAGTATGCCACAAAAAAAATTCAGAACTTTGACATTTTTTTGAATTTTTTTTATTTTACTGTTCACACCAGGAGCATTTGCTCCTGGGTGTAGAAACTCCACGTCCATCTATCAAGCACATTCAGGATATGCCTCTACTATAAAATCACTTAGTCATATTTGCTATGCCAAGAAAAATAAAATGAAACGATCAAAACACGGTCAATAAAATCAGCAATGAATAATGATGTTTTCTGTCACGATTCAATTTTGATTTTGTTTTTACATCGTAAAGAATATGTGTTTGAACTTGAAATTTCACATGCTAATATAACATCACACTCTTAACATATTATATTTTTTGAATGCATGTGTGTGTTTGTAAGCATCTATGATTGTACTGTGTTAAGGAAATATATTGTATTTTTTTAGATTTTTTTGAAACCTCAAAACTATAATGCGGTTTCAACTGGACATAGTTTCTTGTTTCTTCTTTGAGAAACCCTGTAATTTTATTCATATCATACTCATAACAACCACAGATACACTGATTTGGATTTAAGATCTAAGAAAATATAAAGTAACTCTTATGACTAAGAATTATAATGATTTTTTTTGGAAACACCTTCTTCGTTGTATCAATCTCTGTTGGAAAAAAATACTCTAAAGACTTTGATAAAGAGGCTGCAATTGGATTAGAGCAACGATGTTGTCACTCTTTCACCTACACGAACATTACCAACAATGAGTTTTGAAAGCACCTTGAGTCGTCCATCCAAAAAGATGGAAAGACTTCATGGATGAATGTATTTGGGACGGGGATAATCCCCTAGAAGTGCAGACTGTCAGATCATAATATCTTCACCGTTGTGTCGATGAAATATTTCAACTCCATAAAGAATCAAATCAACAATTTTTTTTGACACCAACATAAACTCATTAGGTCCGAATAATCGGATCTACGAGGACAGAAAACTCTCTAATTTCCTGGCGTCGCTAGAAGAACGAGAGTAAATTTATTCTCACAAAATACGAAAATCACTAGGTGATGACGAAAGACATAGGACTCTTGAAGATGTGAGGCCCCCCACCTTTGAGAGCCAGGATGGCAGCCGGAGGCGAGGGGATCAAAAACTTCGTTGGGGCGGCGGCGACGGCGGCTGCAACCCTAGCGAAACCCTCGCATGTTCCCGTGACCCTGTTTTAGAGGCCAAGGTGGACAATGGCCCAGCCCGGGCCTGGCACGACACGTAGGCTGGTCAGCCCATGTGCTTTCGGCCTTTTGGACTGTTTTTGGGTCAATAACTTGATAAAAAAAAGTCAGAAAAAAATCCAGAAAACAATAAACGGGCCATGTCGTGCCAGCCACAGGCCTCACACATCTGCGCCGTCGTGCCATGGGCCACACACGGCCCGCTTAGTCATGTACCAGGCCAAGCCCTTTATTGCCGAGCACGCGTGCTCATGGGCCGGCCCGGAAAAAAGGCCCGTTTGGCCAGCTATAAGACCACTACCCGCGGATTCGGAGCCAGGCGCCAGATCCACAACACTCGGTCAGCCGAGCAGCAACACCCCGTCCACAGCTTCCCTTCTCCGGCAAGCCCAGTTGAAGACAAGCCGCATCGCCTCTTCCAAGGCTGCTTCGCCGGTGCCGCCCCCGGGCAAACATGGATTCAAACTTATTTATATCTGAGAATAAGCAACTTAAATGTGAACAAACTTAAACTTGCAAGAACCCGAAATCTGAATGGATTCAAACTTGCAAGAAACACAAGATGTCAGTAGTGCTCAATGGCCAATGGGTCAGGACAACACACCCCCAGTCAGCTTTTGATGCAACATCCCTACCTAAACTTGCAACAAACTCAAGACGTCAGCGCTCAATGGGTCATGACTCATGACTTCCCGCAGTATTTATCCAACACTAGATGATTGTACAAGAACGCCACCGTCGCGCAAGCGACGATGGCCAGGGCCAGAAATGCCGTCTTCGTCAGTCTCGGGGAGGAGCTTGGCAGCCATGGGTACAAATCTGGCTGAGGCATGACGCAGCTCTCACCGTTGAAGTATATGCGTCTTGGGAAACCCCAGCCCTTCTCGAAAGTGAAGGTCGACGGGTCCTTCCTGAACAGAAGCTCGGATTGCACGTTGCCGTCTGGCCCAGCCACCATGAGCAGGTCATTGTAGTACTTGAGACCCCACAGCATCGCGGTATCATCTGCATCGAAACGCCGGTTAATAGCTTAGTACATGCTACACATTTTAGTTATGGAGGGATAAAGCAATACTCACTTATTACTCCATAGGGGTTCAATGCTTTGTAGTTGAAGCTGAAAATTGTCGTGACATTGTCGAAATTTGGGTGTTGAACAACCAGGTTCCACTGGGAGTAGTTCATCCGGTAGTTCCAGTTTGAAATGGTGATCTTCACCCTCCAGTAGTCCCTGTAGTTGGCCTTAACATGCCAGTGCACCTTGATTGGGCACATATGGGGTGAGCATCGCACTAGGGGGGTCGAGCTGCCCTTGCCAGGTCCATTCACCACTGAAGCCAAGTAAGGCGAATTAACCCTATCAAAGTAGCAAACACATTTAGAAATAGTTTCAGGGAGTGCAAAAAGTATCTGCCTCCTGAAGAGATAATACTTACTCAACGCAGCTCCCAGGGTTGGTTATGTTGTTCTGGCAGCCACATGAGCACTTTGGGCAGTCAACTATCGTTTCGTTGTAAAACGATGATAGTGCAACACAACAAGCAGGACCTCTTTGAGCAACAAACTGTGAATATGTGCATATCACATCCCAAGTCACTGAAAGAAGAGAACATTTTCGTTAGTCAGTGATCAACATATGCACTGTTGACCTGTGGTAAGCCCAAGAAATTTGATTCTGTCGTAATAGCAACTAAACAGAAAAGAGGAATTCGGAAACGACATACCATGCGCTTGAGTTGTTCTCCTTCCATCGAGCGAAATGAACTTAGTGGGAGGTTTTACTTTCTGGGCTGCTCCACAGGTATACCCTGGACCTGGGGCCTTGAGGGTGAAGTTTTTCGGTGCTTTCACTGTCCTATTTGTCGTTCCGGATCGGCCAACAGTGATCTGAAACGATGCCACTGCATTGACTGGATCTTGCCCCCATGAGTTAAGAACTCCTCCTTTGCAACAATTTCCCACCTGCATGCCGTTAGGCGCACCAGGAAGCAAGTCAACTGTTGTTGGGTCTCTCCTGCAGCAGTGTGGTATATTGCCTTTAAATTGAGAGCAATCCCCTTGCTCTATTGTCTGTGCACCCATCATTCCCCAGATGACCTCCTTCTTTGTCCAAGCCCACCCAAGATGCCACCCAGGTGCTTGGATATGACGGTACTTCTGGTAATTGTTTATGGAAACAACAGCCTGTGAAATGCAGATTGTACAGAACATCAACAGCAGAATAATACGTGGTGGAGGTTGTATGTTTCACAATTATGTAAGGGTTCTTAATGCCGCATTTAGAGTCAATAAAATTCCCTTCTCAATAAAAATGTAACAGGTCTTAATAAGAAGATAAATGTTGAAGCCAAGTGATGTGCAGCGAATCTTTTTTTTTTTGCGAGTGATGTGCAGCGAATCTGTTCTGCATTGTGTCAAATGCAATTAGGAAAAAAGAAATTGCACACATTGGAACTGAAGTTTTATAGGATGCAATGTCGAACTACAAAGAAGAGTTTTACAAAAAGGAGTACTTGCGTCCGACTTCTGCATGAACTTCAATCAGAACTCTGAATTACCGTACTAGAAGTTGGGGTAACTTACAACATAGCCATCTGCAGTCCACTGAGTGATATCCCATTTGGTTGTGATGTTCCCGGTTGGATCAAGAGGGTCGTAAGCTTCTGCATAGAGATAGGCAAGCATACGCAGAACCTCAAGTTAATATACATGCATTTCAACACACCCCCTTGTTCACATCAAGTTCCAGTTTAAATAAAAATAGCGAAAAAACTCTGTATGAAAAGTAGCACAATACGGATCAAGATTTACTTGCTATTAGAACAAATTACATGCAGCCAATCTTTGCTGAATGAAAATTGAGGAAGAACTCTGTAACTATCCTATAATATGCACACGCCACATTGGTCTTCGCATGATATAAAAAACATTTCTCTTTTACAGAATTAAATTTCGACAACCATGTAATTATCCACATTTCCTGTGACTGAAAAATGGGGAGAAGTAGCTCACAGTTATTTAATTAAGATTGAAATGTCCCGACAGCCATGTAACTGCGGTGGTGACAATAGCTCGAGATTCTGGTTCCCTAGATGATTTTTCCTCTTATTTGTATATATTGTGCTAGCCGGGTGTCGAGGTAGAGATCTCCCGGCTCAAGCAGCTGCATGCAACTCAATACTTTAACAAATTCTTTAAACACTAGGAATCGGTATTGACTAGTGATTAAAGGCTACCGACCGTGGTTACAGGAACTAATTAATTTATACTCTCTGCATGCCTAATAAAGCAGGATACGAATGATCCTGACCCTTTGATTAGATGGCAATCGAACAGTATGCAGGGCCCCTTTTCCCCGAGTATTTTCTTGACCGACCACTACGCAAGATTCTACTAGGGCCACATCCTCTGCGTATGATATGGCTGAAAAATGGGAAGAAATCCAACTGCGGCGGTGAATGGTACTCTAAGTGGCAACAGCTCGAGATTCTGGTTCCCCGCATGATTTTTCCCCCTCGTACGAATCGGGAATACACGGAGATTTATGTATCGAATCGTTGCAGATGGCCGCAAAATCTGCGAACTTATCAAGATCGAGGACGGATTTGTAGAAAAAAGAGAAGGGGGAAAGGAGTCTGGCAAGAAAACCCTCGATGAAACAGTAGTAACAAGAAACAAATTCTGAGAAGAGCGAACAAGGCAATGTAGAGCTGTTTGGAAAGGGCCAAGACAGCCGGGCAGGCGACGGACTGACCTGTCAGAGGCGCCGCTCCGACGAGCAGGAGCAGCGCAAGCGCGGCGGCGGCACAGAGGCGCAGGAGCGACGTCGCCGCCATGGCTGGCCGAGGCGAGGAACAGAGGGAGCTCGCTCGCTCCCTAGTGCGCGCTAGCTAGCTAGGCGATGCAATGCCAGTGCCAGCTGCCGCTGCCAATCCTGGTGGTAGCAGCAGCAGTGCTCATTTATTTTCGCCGGCCTTTTCCTCGGCGGGCGCGATTAATAGCCCCGCCCCGGTGCGGCATTCCATTTTTGTTGGGTGCGGGGAGAAAGAGGCGCGCCGAGCGCGACGCATGGGAGGGCGAGCGCGTCTCTGTCTCGGAGGAGCAGCGCGCGGGGCCCGACGCTGCAGCAGCGCACAAACCAGCTGACGAGCGAGCTCCCTTTCCCTCGTCGGCCTTTTCCCCCCGCTGCGCGGCGAGAGAGAGAGAGGGTCAGAGGTCAGAGCGACCGTTTCTTTCGGTTGGTTGGGCCGGCCAAGCCAGCCGCGGGGAGGGGACCAGGCGGAGGGACGAAAGTTTGAGCGATTGGCGTGGGAAACGGCGGTGGCGTGGGGGGAGGGAGCACAGCTTTGTTTGCTTTGGCCCTGGGTCTGGGGGCACGTGACGGGGAAAAAGAAAGAAAAGGGGGGATACGGGGGCGGGCGGGACGCATGCAGCGGCGCTGGCTGGGCTGACCATGGACCGAGACACGGAAAGCATGTCGTGAATCGTTGTTAATCTTCATCTTGGTATAAATCTTATTCCCCCGTGTGGCTCGACACGGATGGGTGGTGTCGGGCTCCGTACGCACGCCGGCTCGGGTATCAGACGTCCCACGGAACATGGGCCGTGGGGGCGGCTCGATGCGATGCTTGGCGGATCTGGCTGGCCCCGGCGTCCGGCGTCGATGGTGGCCGGCGGCGGCGCCTCATGGACGCGTGGGGTCCACATGTCTACGGCGCGCGGTGCTGGCCACCCGGTCTTGGGATTGGAATATTGTGACTGCCGGCAAAAGAATGGCTCGACCTTGGTCACCCTTGTCCTAAAGGACATAAGGCCAACTTCATCGTGCGACTTCAAACGGACGTTGTTTTGTCTGGATTCTGTTTGTTTGGGTAGAGATTTGGGGTCGTGTCCGGGCGTGTCCTGGAATGCGGTGGCCGTGCGTCCAGCGCGCGGCCGCATCCCGGCCGCATCCTGTTCGCGTGCATTTTTCTTTGCAAGTCCTTAAATTTTTTTATGATTCATTTTTGGTACATGACAATACATCATCATATTTTGACTAGTAGAACAAGGCCAAAGAAAATAAGAACAAACATTTTAGAAGATAGCCAACTTCCATAACTGCCCCCTTGAGTTGGGTTAGGGCCTTCTCGATGCACTCATTGTTGATCTGTGGAGGAGGCTCGATCTGACATCCTCCTTTCTTCTTCAAGCCAGAAGTAGATGTTGCTTTCTCAGACCTAGTCTCGTGTCTAGCCTCTAATCTAGCAACAAGTGCACTTGTCTCATTTACAGCCTCTATGCTAGCTAAAAATGCACGAACATGTACTAAATTTCGCTCTATCAATATATCGATGTACTCTTCTTCCCAATACCAAAACTTGCATCCATTCTACACAACAAAATTTGAAGTTAGCACAACTAGTCAAATCTAGAGCACAGACCGAAGCTAAAAAAAGCGCATACCCCGTCGTTTAAGCACTTGATGGACATCCATCCGGGATGTTCCGGCGTTGTAGACATGCGGCGCACGACCATCCTTGGTCAGTGGTCGCACTTAATGAGTGGCAACGGTGCGCCAGCGAGCTTTTGGGCAAGCACCGAGCCCGGCCGACCGCCATTCGTGTATCTGTCGGCGGACCACCGACGGTGCAGATCCGAGCGGTTAGAGGAGGAGCCACTGCCTGCATGTGGCCTTGCGGTCCTGCCAGGGCCTTCCGGCGAGGTGCCCGGCCAGTCCATGGCGCGGCTCCCTCCTGAAAGGATCGATATGGTTGACTAGAGGGGGGGGGGTGAATAGGCAACTACCAATTTTTAACTTTTCTTTATCAAATTAAACTTTGCATCAAAGTAGGTTGTCTAGATGTGCAACTAGGTGAGCAACATATATGATGCAATAACAACAAGCATACAAGCAAGCAAGAGAAATAACACTAAAGAGTTTGCACAAGTAAAGGTAAGAGATAACCAAGAGTGGATCCGGTGAAGACGGGGATGTGTTACCGACGTTCCTTCCTTTTGAGGGGAAGTACTGTTGGGGAACGTAGTAATTTCAAAATTTTCCTACGCACACGCAAGATCATGGTGATGCATAGCAACGAGAGGGGAGAGTGTTGTCTACGTACCCTCGTAGACCGTTCACGGAAGCGTTATATCAATGCGGTTGATGTAGTCGTACGTCTTCACGTCCGACCGATCCAAGTACCGAAAGCACGACACCTCCGAGTTCTGCACACATTCGGCTCGGTGACGTCCTCGCTTTCTCGATCCAGCAAGAGGGGCGAAGTAGTAGATGAGTTCCGGCAGCACGACGGCGTGATGACGATATTGGTGAAGAACAATCTCCGCAGGGCTTCGCCTAAGCACTACGAAAATTATGACGGAGGATAAACTAGAGGGGACGGGGTTGCCGGCACACGGCTTGGTGTTTCTTGATGTGTCTTTGGTGCTAGCCCTACCCCTCTATTTATATGTTGAGCCCTGGGTCGAAACTTGGAGTAAAAGCCTCCTCAAAGTCGGTTTCACCCGAAAGGCAAGAGTCCTTCTCGGAGTCCAGGGCTAGATGCCAGGGTTCCCGGCATCTACCCCCTAGACGCCAGGGTTCCTGGCGTCTAGCCTCTGGTCTCTGCAAAACTTCCTTTTGCACTTTCCAAAAGCCTCGTGGGCTTTCCCCTTTGGCCCAGATAAAGTGTTCTCGTGCCCAAACATTTCGGGAAACATCTGGAACCCCTTCCGGAGATCAAACACTACTATCCCATATATCAAACTTTATCTCCGGACCATTCCGGAGTTCCTCGTCATGTCCGTGATCTAATCTCGGACTCCGAATAACATTCGGTCATCAACATACATAACTCATATGGTACTATATCGTCAATGAACGTTAAGCGTGCAGACCCTACGGGTTCGAGAACTATGTAGACATGACTGAGACACCTCTCTGGTCAATAACCAATAGCGGGACCTGGATGCCCATATTGGCTCCTACATATTCTATGAAGATCTTTATCGGTCAGACCGCATAACAACATACGTTGTTCCCTTTGTCATCGGTATGTTACTTGTCCGAGATTCGATCGTCGGTATCTCAATACCTAGTTCAATCTCGTTACCGGCAAGTCTCTTTACTCGTTCCGTAATACATCATCCCGCAACTAACTCATTAGTTGCAATGCTTGCAAGGCTTATAGTGATGTGCATTACCGAGTGGGCCCAGAGATACCTCTCCGACAATCGGAGTGACAAATCCTAATCTCGAAATACACCAACCCAACAAGTATCTTCGGAGACACCTGTAGAGCACCTTTATAATCACCCAGTTACGTTGTGACGTTTGGTGGCACACAAAGTGTTCCTCCGGTAAACGGAAGTTGCATAATCTCATAGTTATAGGAACATGTATAAGTCATGAAGAAAGCAATAGCAACATACTAAACGATCGGGTGCTAAGCTAATGGAATGGGTCATGTCAATCACATCATTCTCCTAATGATGTGATCCCGTTAATCAAATAACAACTCTTTTGTTTATGGTTAGGAAACATAACCATCTTCGATTAACGAGCTAGTCAAGTAGAGGCATACTAGTGACACTCTGTTTGTCTATGTATTCACACATGTATTATGTTTCCGGTTAATACAATTCTAGCATGAATAATAAACATTTATCATGATATAAGGAAATAAATAATAACTTTATTATTGCCTCTAGGGCATATTTCCTTCAGTCTCCCACTTGCACTAGAGTCAATAATCTAGTTCACATCGCCATGTGATTTAATACCAATAGTTCACATCACCATGTGATTAACACCAATAGGGTTTACTAGAGTCAATAATCTAGTTCACATTGCTATGTGATTAACACCCAAAGAGTACTAAGGTGTGATCATGTTTTGCTTGTGAGAGAAGTTTAGTCAACGGTTCTGCCACATTCAGATCCGTAAGTATTTTGCAAATTTCTATGTCAACAATGCTCTGCACGGAGCTACTCTAGCTAATTGCTCCCACTTTCAATATGTATCCAGATTGAGATTTAGAGTCATCTGGATCAGTGTCAAAATTTGCATCGACGTAACCCTTACGACGAACCTTTTGTCACCTCCATAATCGAGAAACATATTCTTATTCCACTAAGGATAATTTTGACCAATGTCCAGTGATCTACTCCTAGATCACTATTGTATTCCCTTGCCAAACTCAGGGCAGGGTATACAATAGGTCTGGTACACAGCATGGCATACTTTAAGAACCTATGGCTGAGGCATAGGGAATGACTTTCATTCTCTCTCTATCTTCTGTCGTGGTCGGGTTTTGAGTCTTACTCAACTTCACACCTTGTAACACAGGCAAGAACTCCTTTTTGACTGTTCCATTTTGAACTACATCAAAATCTTGTCAAGGTATGTACTCATTGAAAAACTTATCAAGCGTCTTGATCTATCTCTATAGATCTTGATGCTCAATATGTAAGCAGCTTCACCGAGGTCTTTCTTTGAAAAACTCCTTTCAAACATTCCTTTATGCTTTGCAGAATAATTCTACATTATCTCCGATCAACAATATGTCATTCACATATACTTATCAGAAATGCTGTAGAGCTCCCACTCACTTTCTTGTAAATATAGGCTTCACCGCAAGTCTGTATAAAACTATATGCTTTGATCAACTTATCAAAGCGTATATTCCAACTCCGAGATGTTTGCACCAGTCCATAGATGGATCGCTGGAGCTTGCATATTTTGTTAGCACCTTTAGGATTGACAAAACCTTCTGGTTGCATCATATACAACTCTTCTTTAATAAATCCATTAAGGAATGCAATTTTGTTTATCCACTTGCCAGATTTCATAAATGCG